TTTATATCTGTGAAATCCAATTATGAACTTGTAAGTCATGTGTGTAACTTACATATATCACCACATATCTGATTTCTAAATGGGAGTTATTCTTGTATTAATTAATAGTAATAAAATTAGTAATAATCCTATTTTTTTATTTTGTATTTAATTTCTGAAGTGACTGACGCAAAAACAGAAATCCACATTTCTCTCTGAAATGTCTGTCAAGCTATGAACAATATATGGCATGTTACTCTGATTTCATCCATGAATCTGAACTGACAGTGTCAAACACATGACTGCGCTGGATGCAGGTCTCAGAGGGGATGGATGCTGTATTTTGGTTATATTGAACCACTTTCTCCTGCAGTTATGAGGGTGTTTTCTCCTCAAACGCTCATGATTAATGTGCTCTGGGCTTCAGCCAGGTTCTGTTGTGCAACATAGACATGGTCTATTGACAGTATCTGAATCATGCAGATATCAGGCAAGGGCTGCTTAAACTCATGTGAACTGCTTTATGTTGGGATGGTTGAAGTAGAATCCATGCTTTTGCAACTCATTTATAAGTGCGTTAAAACAGCTGACTAACCCTTGATTGTGTGTATGAAAGCAGTTTCAGTAATGAAAAACAAAAGTTATATGTAAATTCCCAGTTTTTCGTGTCTATTTATGTTTTAAATTGCATTATGGGACTTTGATCTTTCATCAGATAACTTTTGATATTGAACAGTTTTTGAAAAGTTTACATTTATTAGCATTTTTAATAGTTTGAAGTGATGTCTTGCTTGGGTTGTTGTTGTAAATCATATTACAAAAACCCAGTTATAAACGTTCAGTACTTTTTTAGTTATTTGGTGGACTTAATACTATGTATTATTTATTATATAATTTTAAAACTAAGGTGGCATGGTGGCTCAGTGGTTAGCACTGTCGCATCACAGCAAGAAGGTCACTGGTTCGAGTCCTGACTGGTCCAGTTGGCATTTCTGTGTGGAGTTTGTATGTTCTCCCCGTGTTCAGGTGGGTTTTTTTTCCAAGTGCTCCAGTTTCAGTCAAAAGACATGCACTATAGGTGAATTGGGAAAGCAAAACTAGCCATAGGGTATGAGTGTGTGTGTGAATGAGTGTGTATGGGTGTTTCCCAGTACAGGGTTGTGGCTGGAAGGGCAATCACTGCGTAAAACATGCTGGAATAGTTGGTGTTTCATTCTGCTGTGGTGACCCTTGATAAATTAGTAAATAAGCTGAATGAAAATGAATGTTTAAAACTACTAAAATGTCAATAAAGGTCACTTTGTTAAACTACACAGTTGAATTTTCAACATCAAGAGCAGACAGAGCACAGATCAAGGTCATGAAATAAAATTCAAAATCGTAAATAAAACGAAAAACATTAATATATCACAAAATACAGAAACTAATAATACACAGATATTTTTACAGTCGACATTTAAACAAATTTAAATGAACACTTTACTTGGAAATCACTTCACATGTTAATTAACAGGCTAATTTGAATGGCTAAAGTTGTTCAGCAAATGCAAAAATGATCAGCAGATGATCAACATCAAATTTCAGTGTTTACTTCAATTTTTTAACAGATCATGCATGCAGCTTTGATTTCATGTTTATTTCAGTATTTGATATATTTATTCATTCATTCATTCATTTTCCTTTGCCTTAGTCCCTGACTATCAGGGGTCACCACAGTGGAATGAACTGCAAACTATTTATATGTTTAACTAGCACATGTTTTACGCAGCGGCTGCCCTTCCAGCTGCAATCCAGTACTGGGAAGCATACTCTCATACACTATGTCTAATTTTTAGTTCATCCGATTCACTTATAGCGCATGTCTTCAGACTTTGGGGGAAACCGGAGCACCTGGAGGAAACCCACCTGAATATGGGGGGAACATGCAAACTCCACAAAGGAATGCCAACTGGCTCATCCGGAACTCGAACTGCTAACCACTGAGCCACTGTGCCGCTCTGATACAGTATATGTATTTTAAGAGTTCACACTTAGCTGATGATTGATTATAAAGTGTGTTTGGCTGCTTTCCGCGAGAGAGCACTGAGCTCATAAGATCCTCGAGCCTGGAGCTCCCTACTGTTTGCAAGGCGAGAGGGGAGTTTGAGCTCAGGTAGATCTCGGCAACTCTCCTGCTGTAGTAGCTAATGAACAGATAATGATTGCTCTTAAGACATAACTACTTACTAGGAGCATGTCTATTTGGATTAGTCAATTAACTTAAGTTGCAATCATAAGCATGTGATCCTCTCGAAATTAGCTAGTAAATAAACTTTGCCTAAAATGCAATTAATAGACATTTCTGAATGAGAGAAAGACAGATATTTGCACATATTTGATTCAAAATTCCCCCATGTTGCAAACTCTTTTGACAGCATGTTATCTGGCACGTAAAAGCACTTCATTTGTTTGACCTCAGAGATACTGTCATTCTCAAGCACAAGACTGCAGACTTTTCAAAACAGTCTGTCCAGCACTGTTGTTCTTTATGAAAATGAACTGCACAGTCTCGTATGCTAGGTCAGAGACAGGGTAGATTAAAGATAATTTGATATTTCAACTGTATCTCTAATCCCATATTGGCTGTCATTCAGTAAATTATTGTAATGCTATTTCAAACACATTTGTGGAGTGTTGTAGCCTCAATGCTAGATTTTGCTCTTGGTTTATTTCAATTGGAATAATTACATTTATGTACCCAGGGTGTTTTCACTGGCTTTTATGTACTTGTTAGCATGTCAGCTGTCAAGCTAGTATCCACAAAAAACGTTTTGATCATTTCTTCCTCTAACATTATTGCCTTTAAGTCATTAAACTTCACATGTTGTGTTAATAAAACCTCTTTAAGCTTTGTGCTTCTGCGGTTAGATTGTTTCAGACACATGCATTTTTTTTTTTTTTTGCTTTTTTGTAACTTCATGATGTGTGTGTGTGTCTGTGTCTGTGTGTGTGTGTGTGTGTGTGTGTGTGTGTGTGTGTGTGTGTGTGTGTAATGTATATCTACAGTGCTCAGCATTTGTGAGTACACCCTCCACAAATCTCTCATTTAAATAAATATTTTCTATAGGATTCATTCATTTTCTTTTCGGCTTAGTCCCTTTATTAATCAGGGGTCGCCACAGCGGAATGAACCACCAACTTATCCAGCATATGTTTTACACAGCGGATGGGAAACACATAAATTTAGCTTATTCAATTCACCTATAGCTTTAAATTGTGGGAGGAACCGGAGCACCCGGAGGAAACCCATGTGAACACGGGGAGAACATGCAAACTCCACACAGATACGCCAACTGACCCAGTCGGGACTCGAAACAGTGAGATTCTTGCTGTGAGGCAACAGAGCTAACCACTGAGCCATCTCTGAGCCATACTGAAGCCAAATCTGGAGCTAAACTTGCATAACAATTAAGATGATGGCCCACAAGTTAGTAGCCCAAATTTATGTTATGGAAAAAATTAAATATATATTTTTAAAAAGAGCAAAAATCAAGAGGAACAGAAATATATAAAATTTTGTTGAAATGTTGTAGTTTGCAATTTTTTGTGCAATATTTCAATAATTAAATGTATTATCTTTCCATTTCTAAAGATGTTTGGTGACTAAAATGTTACTTTAATAAATATATCCATTTAATAAATCTGCTTCGTTCAAATGCACCAAATTATATTACCTGTATTCACTGAGAAATGCATATATATATATATATATATATATATATATATATATATATATATATATATATATATATATATATATATATATTTAATTTTTTTTTTTTTTTTATGTGGTGTACTCATTTATACTGAGCACTGTGTGTTTATGAAAAACCACCTAAAATCTGTTTTTCTGGATTTGTTTGGATGAAACTCTCTCTGTGTCTGTAAACTACAAATAAAATTTCTTCCAAATAAAAAAAAAATTTTATTAGCTGATTTTTTTTCTTTTTTTTTTTACATAAATGAACAAACTAGGATAATGTTTAGTTTAAGACACTATTGTCAATATGTTCAAGTTGTCTGTTTAGAACATTTTATATAATATATGAATAAATACTATTATTAGGAATTTGTTAGGAATTTCTATACAGTGTTGAAGGTAACGCATTACAAGTAATGCGAGCTATGTAATAATATTACTTTTCTAAGTAACAAGTGACGCATTTCTTAAAAAACTAAACAAGAATAATTCAGTTACTTTTTAAACAATGTAACTTAAGTTACTTTTAGATTAATTAATACACTTTTAAAAATAGTTTGCTGAATTTAAATTAGTGTGATCACTTTAAATCACACTAAATGAGAGAATAAGCTCCCCATGGGAACAGACAGAAACCAAGATGTCAGGGCCTTACATTTCTGTGACGGAAGTATTCTCATTATTTTGAACACATGGGGAAAAAAAATTGGATTTTAGTCTCAATGGACAGTGATTTTACTGAACTAATAAGACAAAAATACAAAAGTAGCAAACACATTGTTTTCAACTTTCATTAATCTGTTTATATGACATGTATAGTGTCAGGAAGTTCTCAGACGGTAACGTTATTCAAATTTTTAAATTAGCTTTTTTTAAAGGTAAACGGGGGTGTAGGTTATACAGTGTGTCGTTAAATGCAGAGCTCCTCTATTAAAAAAAAAAAAAAAAAGATAAAATTCCTTTACAGTTTTGAATCAAGCCAGGTATGAAAAAGTAACCCAAAAGTAACATATTGCATTACTTTCCCTAAAGAGTAACTAAGTAATGCAACTAGTTGCTTTTTTCTTCCCCAACACTGTATATATATATATATATATATATATATATATATATATATATATATATATATATATATATATATATATATATATATATATATATTAGAATATTTTTTGCAAACTTTTCTGAGTGAAAATTATTTGAGGTAAATAATTTAAGTGACTTTGGGACAAGATTTGATTAAAATATTTTAACAAATAATGCACTATAGAGTGTATTTTCCATGGTGATGGAAATAAACAACTTTAATCTGTGAAAAAGTAATAACAGAAAAACTCCCCAAACTATAGCTAAAACACACTCCATAAAACGATTCACCTGCACTTAAAAAAACTAACATTTTCAGCCACACTTAAAAGTGTAAGACTGCCTTTGAATTAATGAACAAATATCAAGTCATGCCAAACAACATTTTACAAACAGAAGCTTGTTAGGTTGTAAATCATCCGTGCTCTTTCTGACTTTGTCAAATGTCAATAAATCACGTAGATCCACCAAATTTGTTTGCAGCCACTCTTTGGTTTTCATATTTTGTTAGCTAAAGCAAACACGCCTCAAATTTTAAGTGTGCATTACCTGTCCAGATACATTTTATAGGCCACCGTTCAACAAATGACTAACAATATAATAAATTGTCTTTGCTTTGGCTTAATGATCATTTGTGGAAATTATTGATATCGATCATCAATATACCCCATAGTTCTTTTATTTGCATCTTGTTCAGTTTAATATTCAACATTTTTAATCCCTCTGGATGAATAGCAGTTGTTTATGACTCTTTGTTTCTCCAGAATCATTCATAACTCCATTAAATCAGTACATCCCACCGCTTAAAGTGTTTCCTGAGATCCATGGCTGGAAGCAGAACATGTAGGGATAATAAGGGAATGATTGGTATAAAGGAGGAACAGAAGGACTGGGCAGATCTTCTGTGTTATATTGCCTTTGGTCATTTCTCACTAGTACCTTCACGGCCACTCTCTTTGCAAGGGTTGTTGTGGGAGTTGTGGCGAGTTCAGCTGCCATTTGTCGCCGTTTGGTTTTGTATCTCCTGTTCTGGAACCAGATCTTGACCTGAGTCTCGGTCAGTTTGAGGGCTCCAGCTAGGTCTGCTCGCTCTGGGCCAGACAGATATCTCTGCAGGTTAAAGCGTCGCTCTAGCTCGTACACCTGTGCGTGGGAAAATGCTGCCCGAGATCTTTTCTTGCTGGATTTAGGGTTGCTGTCTTCAAAGCTGCAGCTCTGGGGTTTCTGTTGGTCCATTTCATGATCTGGATAAATGGATAAATTAGGTTTATAAATCTTTATATAGGCTCTGTTTGGAAGAATAATCAATAGTGCATTATAAAGAAGCCCATATTAGGGCTGAACAATATATCATTTGAGTATTGATATTGCAATGTGTGTAGCTGCAATATTCACATCGAAGGATTAGATTATTTATTAAAGATTAAGAGATTATTAAATTTTCCATTTTTTTATTATTTATACATTGATGACCATGTTATTTTACATTTGATTGTTCAAGTTCTGTACTTATATACGGTTAGACTCCACAGAAAACCATTAAGCACAGTTTTTTTTATTTATTTATTATAATTTATGCAAATGCACAGAAAAAGTCTTGATAATCCCTGTCCATCTAAATTACTAAAGTATTTTCAAATTAAGCTATTCAAATCATCTGGTGGAATTATATTCATATTGCACAATATATATTGAAGCACAAAAAAAAAATAACGCAATGTCAAGTTTTTCCAATATTGTGCAGCCCATATTGGTGTATAGGCATGGGACGATAACTGGTTTCAAGGTTTATCGTGGTTTGGAAAATAAAGGTTATAAAACTGACAAAATGTTCTTTTATGACATTTATGCCGTTCTTTTTGTATATGTAATAATTATGTTGTATACAGACTATTATTTTTTACATGTTTTTACAACTATTTTATTTAGTTTTTTTAGGGCAACTGTATCTTAAGGAGAGACAAACAAAAGCTACTGTTCCAAAATATTTTAAATGTTTCTTAAAATAAAATATATTGTGTTTAATGGAAGCTGTTGTTTATTTTACCCAGACATTAAAAAGAGCATATTTTAGAAGAGAAATCCCAATATCATAATACCGTGAAACCATGATATTTTTATCCAATAAGCTTATCATACCCTCTGAATCTTATACCAGCCAATGCCTTAATTGGTTTATATATGTAGAGATATTTACAATAATCAGAAATTCTTTCTTTTGATTCTGAACATGTTTTGTGTTATTTGTCTTATGTTTTGTTATAATACTCTGGCGTATGTGTCAAAAAAGAAATAGGTACTGTGGTAAAAATGAACTAAAATAAGATTTTACTGTGATTTATTTAAAATACCCACTAAAATATCATTCAGTCTAATAGTTTATTTACCAAAAAATCTTGTCAGGCATATCTAGAACAAGAATTGTTTGATTACACACTAAAAGACAACATATAAAAAGGCAAGCAAATGATTTTCAACTATTATTACAAATAGATTAATAAATACATTAATTTGTTTAGATATAGAAGTGAATAGTGAAGTTTTTAAAAAGCTAAATTATTTACATTGACTTTAAATGATTATGAAATAACTTCATCAAATAATGCACAATAGAGTGTATTTCCTATGGTGACGGAAATGATCGACTTTAATTAATGTAAAAATGCTAACTAGAAAAAAACTCCCCAAACTATAACAAAAACACCCTCATTAAAAAAACAATGCACCTGCACTAAAACACAAACAACATTTTAACATTTAAGCCACACTATTTATGAATTACAACCTCAAAATATTAATTTATTGTAATTTTAAATCTTTATTATCTTAAACTACTGTGTTTTACTCATTTGTTGATTATAATATTTAATATTAATTGATAAGAGATGATTAAAAGTTGTAAATAAATTGTTGTAATAAATTTTTTTTGTTTAAAAATGTATAATTGATTTAAGTTGGCCTATTAATTGAGAAGTATTATAAAAACATTGACCACTTATCACCATCCACATTACACAATTTTAACCATTTTGTAATCATTTTAATGTTTTAATATATAGTATATGCAATTGAAAACAAAGAAATACAAATGTTGCAAATTTAAAATAACAACAATGATTGGTTGCCTATAATTATCATTATTCTTAAATCAATTAGACAGGATAACCTACTGACAAGTGTTGATCCTTGCTAATGTAATCATACATTTTTGTGCAAAATATTTACGGGTAATTATTAGACGAAACCAAATTTGCAAAGTATATAAATTCAGGATTATATGGCCTACTTTGTGATTGATGGATGTTATATCACAGAAGAGTTAACGGTTTCTGTTATTTAATTTAGTTTTATTAGATACACAAATACTGACCATAATTTAGTATTTAAATGTTTTTTTTTCCAAATCCTGACCTACAATTTTTAAATCTGGTTAGTTTATATGTTTTACATATTTATGTCGGTGTATATTTATATTACTTAAAATGATTTATAGGACTCTCTTGAAAAAGAGATTACAAAGGTTTTTCTATAAAATAATGTTATAAGTTACGCAAGCTGTTTCAGCTTAAAATTTTAAGGCAACAAGGATTTTTTTACATTGTTCAATGCTTCACGCCGTTTTCAATTGAATTAAAACGCGAAATCAAGTGAGGCATAAATAATATTATTGCAAATAAAATATGTTAAATTACCTTTAGGAAACATGGCATATGTCAAGTAGCCTACCTAAATCTAATTTACTTTTAACTTTTTATGTTCAAAAATGTATTTAATTTAATTTAATCGATGTGTGTTGGGACAAGATGAATGAGTTTGTTTGCTTTATTTAACGTATTTAAAAAGAACAAATGTTGACCAAAGTGCTTTACAAAACAACCAACATGCAATATATATATGCAAAACAATTTAAAATTAACAAATTACTACCAAAAGCAAGAGACAGAGTTGTGCGGAACCCCGTTAATGCGATGTGCTTTTTTCTAAAAAATACTCATCTGTAGAATGTGAATATAAAAAACGAGTTTCGCAACATTACATCGTACACCTGAAGTGATGTTAATGTCTCACCATGTCGCCTTTCCAGTGAATTATCTTCTCCTGTTGATTCTTCCTCGCATGAATGCTGGTCTGATGATAAAGACTCGAGCACGAGCACGCAGGAAGAGATGCGCGTCTGTGCGCTTTCGGCTCCGCGGTTCACCGGCACAGATGAGCCTGAGTCCTGTGTCCTTTTCTCTCCCTCGTATTCCTCATCAAAACTGCCGTTTTTCCCACATTCATGTCCTTGGTTTAAAATATTGTGGATGGAAAAGGAGGTTCGGTTATTCGCCATTTAAAACATTTACCTATCCTTCTCGCCGGTTTTATGTCGATGGAGTTTTGCGCGTCTATCTGGGAAGCTCCTGCGCGTTCATGACAATAAATTAGTCCGCAGTGTAATTGCTTTCCTCTCTGCGTGTCATTTAATTGCGGCAAAACTTCTTCCGACCCAATCAACAGGCAGTGTCAGAGAATGTCATGTGCACATCAGTTCCCTCTCTTCTCTTTCCAGACGTTTAGCCAATGGGATTTTTTTTCTGGATCGCTTCGCTCCTCCCTCTGAAATAGACGTGTAGAATTGAAGAGCCATCGACATGTGTTTACTACCACACGTTCTCTGGCTTTGTGATATTATTCACTTTTTATTCGATGACAAATAAGGATGACCGCGAATATTAGCAATTTTGTAGATTTGTTTTTAGGCTAATTGTTGGCTACATTTTTACATAAAAGTTGCTTTATTGTTTTTTTTTTTACTTTATTTTCTATTGTACTTGTTTTTGTATTGTAAAAACAGTATTTAGGCCTATACTATTTTCTAAAAACATGTTTTTTAAGTGTTTAGAAAAAGTTGCCAAAAATAATTGCACGTTGCATTTACGATTCAGAAACCTATTTACGTTCATTCATTCGTTCGTTTTCCTCTGGCTTAGTCCCTTTATTCATCAGGGGTCGCCACAGCGGAATGAACCGTCACATATTTAAAAATTTCTTATATTATACCGTCCGGAATGACAGTGTGCATTTTAATACGTGTATAGTAATTCTACCTGACACTGAGTAAACGCGATGACCTTGAGGGTCTGAATGAACCCCTCTGTTTTATGGTTATCTGGTCCTCCCACTTGTCGGTTACACCACAATGACATTGGCATAATTTTTCAACATTTTGTCAGCTGAATCAAACAAAATTGTGCTACGTTTTACGTTACGAGATTCGCGGCCTTTAAGTATTCGCGTTTAAGAATAAAGATAAATGAATTGCATATTATTTTGAACTTCAGGGCGAAACAGCCTAGCCTACACTTCTGACACACCAAAAATATTAGCCTTCGGTAAGATCAGAAATCCCCCAAATAAATCAGTTTATTTTGTATAGCATCTCAAAATCAGCATTTATCTAGTAACATAAATTTAGCCAATGTTATTTTTTAAATGTTAAACACAATCGATGTCTAGAATTAGACGAAATTTCCGAAACCTTTTAAAAGCGTTATTCATAATCCCTATTCACGCAGGTTCGTGTTTTGTTTGGCTATTTGTTAGCTTAATTTCATTTTCTATCAAATACCAAATAAAACTGATGTGATTAGACAAATAGTTTTTATAGCCAATTTTGGCAAACATAAATACATAGCCTACTGTAATTTTCAATTTGTTTCGTGTAAAACCAAAATATGAGTAGCCTATTTTTCCAGCTTTTCATTTCCCTACACTGTAAAATAGATATGTTAGTCAATTAATCTTGACAGCATATGTTTTAGGTCATACCTTATTAAACTAAGTTTATATAAGCTGTTTAAGGACACGTAGTAAAATGGATTTAAAAATTAAGGCAATCAGGATTTTTTTTCACAGTGTAAAAGTAATCCTTTGTCAAATTCAAACATTTCCTATTCTTTTAGTCTACTTCTATTATAAACAGTTTATAGGATAATATAATATAATATAATATAATATAATATAATATAATATTTACACTGGTTAAATTTAGCCTGCCAAGCACGGCAATGTAATGAGCTTTTAAAATCTAACTTAAACGTATTTTAAACATGCATGTTGCATTCACGAAGGTATTCAATTATGATTACAAATGATAACCTGTAAATCACGTAAAGCATTAGTCAATTCAAAATGCTTTAGCGTCTCTAAACGCTGTTTGTCCTATATCTGTAATATTCATAAATCCGTCAACACCTTTTGTGAAATCTCACTCGATTCCTGTCAAGGACTAACACAGCACGGAATAATAGATGACTGCGGAAACGTAAATGTGCGTATGATGGTTGCGTTTGCCACTAAATCTCGGTTTTAGAGAATAAATCTCTGTTGTAAATCTAACTGATTCCCAAAGCAATTGTCTACTTTCTCTGTGTTGTCAAGAAATACGATTGTAGCGCCTCCATGTGGCTGTCTGGTGTTTATCTGCTGTCACTTATTTGAATATGTGGTTGGCCTACTTTAACCAGCTGCTAACTAGGCATATTTTCCGAGAGCTTATAGGCTATGAATTTTACTTAAATCCGCGTTTTATTTTTTTATTCTTATTAAATAATCATCCTTGATAAAGTACAGTCAAAAATGACTTTTGCTTCTTGTTTGTTTTACTTATTTCAAAGAGTTGAAACAACAAATTTCTTAAGTTGTTTTTGGGGCAACCTATTTGTTTCAAGGTTCAATTTATTTACTTTTGTAAAAAAGGTTAAATAAACTTAATCGATTTGTGTTGGGACAACATAAAGGAATTGCGTGGAACCCAACATTTTGTGTATAACATTATCGGCAAAAGATGATACACTATAAAAAAGCAGGGTACCACAAGATTCATTTAAGTTGTTCCAACACAAATGTATTGTTAACTTAACAAATTTAAGTGGATTAAACAAAACAATTAAGTTATCACCCAAAAATCTTAAGAATTGTGTTGTTTACACTCATTTTAAATAAGTAGTTTTAACAATCTGCAAAATAAATATATATTTTTGAGTGTATTGATATTGTGAATGGCAGGGTGCGAGTTATACATTGACAATCAGGGGGGGGGATGTTCGTCAGGGGGGGCTGAAGGATGTTCGTTTGTGTAATACATGGGTCAGTGAATCAATTTTTGTATTTATTTAAATTATTCTAAATCGAAGTAATTAATTAAACGTATTAAGCTTTTAAGTTTATGCTGACCTAACTGCTAAACTTCAGAGGATAGCCTACTTTCGGTCAAACTAAAAAAGGCATCTAATTTGACTACTTTTAGGTAATATCTAGATACAAACAGCCATTTTACAGTCAAAGTGTCATTAGAACTTATGAATTTCTTCTCACTGACGGATTTGCGACAACCCTTTACTATGATTTGTTATTGGGGTGGTCAAACAATTTATATGCTTTTATCTATTATTTCAATTCAAAATATTCTTATTATTTAAAAAAAACATATTAGCATTTGGCAGAAAACCATTTCTTCCTGTTAAATGGCTGACCCCTATACACCTTGTTTTGACATCCTTCAGGGGGGTCAAGCATTAATTAGGGGGTCAATCTCCCCCAAACCCCTTGTAATTCGCACCTGGTTGTACATATTTCATGCTTTCAACAAGACTAAAAATTGTAGGATATTGAGCTTTTACACTTACCCTACTTTCTGATTGGAGGCTAATAATTTAGATCCCGTTTTCAAGATTTGTATAAAATACCCTGAGACCACGCTTTAAGAAAAAAAAGACAGAAAAAACTTGCTTGTATATATTTAGTCTATTGCTCCACATATAAGAGCTCACAAACTAAACGATGTTGTAACTGGTGTGTTTAAAACGTTTTTAAAACAACTTTATACCGGATGCTTTTCTTTTGTTTGCTCTTCCACCACGGTCAACCAAATAAATATTACTCTGCTCTTGTTTATGTTAAGTAAACTTAATCGACATATTGGGAGGTCTGAAATGTTGTTAATGTTTTTCTCTATGAAGAAGCTCTCTAACTCATCAGGTGAGTAACATAGATGAAACATCGTGCCCGGTTGCTTATAACACTCTTATTTAGACACTTTTCAGTTCTCTTCATTTGCGAAACATAATGCATTATTGGTCAACTGAGTGGATAGATAGATAGATAGATAGATAGATAGATAGATAGATAGATAGATAGATAGATAGATAGATAGATAGATAGATAGATAGATAGATAGATGGATGGATGGATGGATGGATGGATGGATGGATGTATGGATGGATGGATGGATGGATGGATGGATGGACTTTTAAGGGAAGTGTGTTTGTGATCTTTACCAGCAGGGGGCGCTCTCCTCTGTAACACCCATGTAAAGGTGTTGACAGTATAAATTACATTTAAGATAACACCTAAAGCTTTGGTACTCAACCTTTGTGGATTTATTGTAAGATATGCCATTTTTCAAACAGAGATTTATGACTAAATCAAGACATTTTAATAGACCTTCATTTGCAGGCCTATTTTCCTCCACAGAAGAAAAGAAACGTGTTTATTGTCTTTATCACACATGTTGTGATGTTTGAGATCAGTAAAATAAGGCCTACAATGGGATTTACAAGCGTAACATTCAAACATGCTGTCATTTATGCTTTATAGGCTATACGCTCTTAAAATAAAGGTTCCAGGAACAACCCAAAAGGGGCCTTTACAGCGGTACCATGAATAGGCTAACCTTCTTTTAGTTTCCCATGAAGCTAGTGAAAAAGTTATTAAAGGGACATTTTTTCACAGTGTGAGGAACATTTTATAATATTAAAATGAAATAATTCAATAAAGAATCGTTTGTAAAGGAACCCAGCAAGCATTTTTGTTCACTTTTAAAAGATGCCTAGATGTTGTGTTGGTGTAAACATAGTCGTTTTGGCTAAAACAAGGCTCAATTTGGGCTGTCAGTGAAAATATAATAAACGTCTAAGAAAAGGACAAAACTAGACAGTAATCAAATAAACAGAAATGAATCACCACACATAGAAAATCTGTCTAATTTGTATATTTGACGACTAGTTGAGTTTTGGGATATTCTTCGATGTTTATGATATTTTCACTGACAGTTTTAGCCAAGCTGTCTACGTCTTAATGTCAATTAGACGTCTATTAAACACAAAATTATTTGCTGGGACACGTACTGTTAAAGTTTTTCAATAAAGACCCTTTATTTTTTAACAGCCCATGTTTATCTGTGTTCATTACAGGTTCACTTTTTCCATTTTCATTTCTTTCATTGAAATTAAAAAATACGATGCGATGTTAATAAGTTATTCACAAACTTCCAGGTCGCTTCGCTTCTCTTTCTTACACAGTCTACCATATATTTCAACCCAATTGGGTGTAATAAAGACTAATTTTAATTAAATTTATAATTATAATTAAGTATTTTTAATAAATTGTATACGACCAAATTTAACCCAGTGTTTTAACTAATTTGGGTTTAAATAACCCAGTACTTTAGAGTGTATATTTCCTTTTATTCTCATTTAATATTACGCTAGCAAAAGAAATAAAAACT